GCGAATCAGTGTTGGCTCTTTAGTTCTGGGACATTCGCCTCCCGGCTGGACGCCTACCACGATCTTTTTGGTTTATCGGTTTAGAATTTATCGCAGCAATTGATGGGGGAACTTTCCTCGCAAGTAATGAAAGTACAAGACACCCATCAAGTCACGGATCACGTGCCATTATTTGGTTTGACTTGGTTCAAGTGCTAGTTACTTGCTTGTTGTTAGTCTTACCGGTGAGAAGAAGAACGCGGTGGAAGGCGCAGTTATGATGGAACGTGAGAAAAGTGATTGCAGGTAATGAGATAATTCATCTCTATTGAGTTTGAGACACTCGGTGTTCTCAGGCGTATCCCTAAACCTCTTTTGGCGTTGCTTTACTAGTTGACATCAACAAAAGAGCACTCTTGAACAGTTTAATAATCTCCAACAGAACTGCCGGGGATGGCGCGTCGAACTGTAAACCATTCACCGGTTTCATCAGCACTAGACGCCATACTAGTTGGCCTTAGGTGACTTGGTAGAAGTTTACGTAGGTATCCGTCCTCTTTTGGGGCATTCAAAGGAGGATTCACTCTTGTCATCCGCTCGACATTTCTGCAATGATTTTATTGGCATCCATTTGAGTTGCTGGGGTGAGATGGACCAAGTGGTCGCAAATTTACTGACCGGAAAGTCCGTGGTTCGAACCCGACCTCTGCCTCTCGACTTCCGCTGTCCAGGCTTGGGCGACCTGACGTTATCCCAGCCCTCGTGCATCATTCGTATGGCATAGCAGCTAGGCACTGAAAGGGTGCTAGAGCTGGACGAGTTGCTGGCTGTTTGAATATCCGACCATAATCAAAGTGGGCTGTCAACACACACTAAGGCTCAGCCAGTTAAAAATACATCTATGGGGAAGAGGGTGGAGAATTATGCCTCATTGCGACAAGCCAGTTTTCGTAAGTCTCTTATGATCATCCGGGTAAATTGGTACATCTGTACACTCGAGGTAAAGCATTCTTCTTATCAGTTTCTTTGAACAAGTGGGTCAGAACTAAAAATTTTTGTAACTGAACTTGATTTCCTGATTTTTGGTTCTGCCTTTGGCATATTATTGGACGATGACAATTTGGTGTTCTGTGCTGCTTTTGGAGACAAGGATTTTCTTAGGATTGTTGGATTCTGCACTAAATGACTACCTTTTATAGGACAATATATTTTTAGACCCCCATTTCACCTATCTGACAGCCTACATCATCTGTCATTGACTCACCAATTAGCGTAGAAGCTTTAACATGCCTCTCAGGCCGAACAGAACTTGCCCAGTTGCCCATCACCCAAGCGCCTTCTGTGTTTTACTCCACTAGACCGCTATGTTATTCCACCAACTTACACACAAAATAAAAATTGGACTAAGTGGTCCTCATCCAAGGAGAACGCATGAAGTACTTTCAAAAGAAGAATGATTTCATATATTTGTAATGCACTGCTCATAAGGTTGCTTAAAATCCGAATAATTTCAAATGATGAGTGAAACTTCCTTCTGAAAAACTGTCATTCGATGACCCAGTCAACATGTGGTCATGTGATGTGCCTTCCAATTATTGAAGGATGAGTGAACCTACGTCCCGTCTTAGTGAGAGCTAACCACAAGGTTGAATACTCAACCACCGGCCGCAAGGTCACGGGTTCGAAGCTCTCCGGAGTTTTGTGAGATGCGCACTGCCGATGATTCCCAATAGGAATAAAACAGCTTCTTGTCTTTTCAGCATCGTTTGACTTCACTGACAAGATGACATCTCTGTTGGAAAAGAAACATTTAACTGTAGAAGTACGGGGACAAAGCAGTATCTAATGGATCGCGATTTATTTCATAGTCAGCCCAAGGAGGAGGGGATTAGGACAAGAAACGGGCGGAAATCCCCTGTAGTGCCAACCATTTTCTCCGTGATTAGGGGTAGTCATACGACAGTTTTCATCCAGTTCTGTAATGGGTTGAATGCCAGTGGGTATAGGGGGAAAATAACTGATAAACGACACATTACCGATGCCTGATATTACCTCCATTGACTCATCAGCGCAAAGTCGTAAGTAAGTTTATCGCCTGGCTCAGTTGTCAGTGGACGATTTAAACATACACATCAAATGCATTCGAAAGATAATAATAGCTGAGGAAGTTTGACGGCGCATCGGAGGTAGATGGAAACCGTGTGTTTCAGTCATTCCAAGCGGTAGGTGAGCGTTCGTGCCACACAGACGACGTTTTACCGTTCCCTTTTATTCTCCGGTGATCATTTAGGACATTTGTCAACTTTGTTTCTTATTGTATTTATAAATGGAATGCACTCACAGCAATACGTGTCCCGGCTTTTCTAATGCATCAAAGCTGCTTCAAAGCTGTAGGAAGCTAATAGCTGACGTTTCCAAGCTCTCATATAAAAGCTGAAAATGAATGACAAAAATTCTCGCATAATAGATGGGCTTACTTCATGGTGAAGTGGATACTACGTTTATTGGCCAATCTTTTCGTGGAAACTACAGAAGACCAACCGAAATAAAAGCGTGCGAGAGCACAATCTATGCATGGAGGGAGCAGAAACGTGTGCACAGAATTCTCAGCAATACAAATCAGGGGAGTTGGTGTGTAGAAAATCAAGTTGGACCGCATTAGTAGTTGGTTCCTTGACCAGGTCCTGCAGACAGGAAAGAAGAAACTGTTTTAGTCCAACCCCGTTAGGGTCGCTCGCCGTTGCATGATTATCAATGGTGTTGAGCTGATTCGCTCAGTGAGATAGTTCACAAACTGCTGGACAGAATCAAAGTGGAGTGGGAATCTTGGTTTACATGAGGCATTCAAACATCCAAAACCATCAGAAGAATTAGCGAAATACACTCATTTTCGAGAGACTGAATCCCACGTTTGTGGTGTTTCCAGGCAAGTTTTCAGCAAACTTATGAGTAGTACATTACAAATATACACATCAAAAGAATATTTAAAACGAAAATCTAACCAAACCTTCTTATATCCTGTTCTTCAGTACATGATTGGGTAGAAAAAGCTCGTCAGAAAGAGTAGCAGTTAAGCCGATATCACAATGACTCATGAAATCCTACGAGCTTCGTGCGGACTATCTTTGTATGAGGAACAGTGATTCCTCAATTCTTGTAAAAGTGGATCTGGTACTGACAGATGTCGTAAGTGGGAGGGACTTTTTCCATACGGACGTATGGAAACAGCAACACACCCATCTCAGGCACTCACGACCAGAATGATTTGAGAAATTTCGGTTTGGTTGGGGGAAAGAAATTACCGAGAGAAATTTTGTGAGTAGACAGGAATACAATCGATGTGAAGCGACTAGTCTTGTGAATACAACTCAGATCGATACGCAAGTATAAGAGGAGCGGATGTGCCGGAGTAATTCCTATCCCACGGTTTTTACATACTGTTTCGTTCTAGCGGAACTCCGAGTTACTTTAACAAAACATAACCTGTAACTTTTATTTCCTCCCCTTCTGCAGACGACATGGAATAGTGATAGCACAAATCAACGACTTCGAGCTTTGTCTGTTCACTGTCCCAGTCTGTCTATAGACGAACCCCTCGGTCAGCCGTACATGGCTAATCAGATGTCAGATTCCTCCCAATTTACTGCTAATGATTCCGAGCGCACTGGCTTCTGGGGGCCAGCTGCAAAATCCAGTGGAGCAAACACCCCAACTGTGGCATTCAAAGAAACCATACAATCGCGTACGGTAACCCGATTTGATGACGAACCCGTGGGGAGTGTGAGCGAGTCACGCGGT